AGGCAGGTGCTGCATTTCAGGAGCATGACCAGTTGAAGTGTCTGGGCTTTGTCGTCAGCAGCAATGGCATTATTAAGCCAAACTTAGAGAAGCGGATCTCTCCAGCCTATAGTGCTTCGGTAGGCAGGTCCAGTACTTCGGCTGAGAAGGGGTTTGCGCTTCCGACGAAAATCCGCCTCTGCCTTTCCTCTGTCACGTCATTGTTATCGTATCACTTGGAAAAGGCTGTTTTAGCGAAGGATCAAGAATAATTGCACATGGCAGCTTTGGCTTACAATGATTGCTAAATGGTGGAACCAAGTTGGTTACATTGTTTTGCTCTGGGCACACGTGACATCAGTGGACATGGAAATTAAAAGGTAAGGTTAGAGGACATGGTTGAACATATATCATTTACTCTAGCCCATGAATTTTTTCATCGAGGGAGTAGCCAAGAAGCTATAATGCATTATGACGAAATGATGCAGAGTCAGAGCTGCTTTCTGAGAAAAATTTTTCGTGTTTCGATGCAGTAAGAAATATTCCTGAAAGGCTGTGGATTCACTGAACAACACAAACCAGAGAAGTTCTGCTTATGGAAACTGCTCACAATTATTATCTCAATAGTAACGTATAATTTCCCATTTCAACTTTGAAAGTTTATTTTGGTAGGCGTTTATATAAAACAACTATTAATTTTTTTGCATATTTGTTAGTGATATTTAGCGATAGCTCAATGCTTTTTACTGTAAGAATGTGAGTTGCTGAATGAATGATGCACATGCCTTATTTCTAGTTACTCAACTAATTTCAATTTAATTAGCCTATTTTAAAATTAAAGTCTTCTGAAATTCACAAGCGATTCAATTCCAGTATTTGAAGAATCATTCTAAAGAGAAGAACAGTTCTGATCTCTGGTTACAAACACAATGTAGAGGCGAATAAATTTATATCGACATTTCGAACACGCAACAATGTTCAATATCAAGCACGCAAAAGTTTGTATAAAAATTTATTTTTGCTCTCAACTGAAGAACACTGTGGTGTTTCTGAATCTCTATCATGAATGAATTAATTTCTCAATTTTATTCCCTTAACCTTTGGAGTAGAAATCTATTTTGGAGGATTCTTATTTAAATTAGTTCATTTAATAAAAAAAATAAAAGTAATTTATTCCCAGGAAGTTGCTTTTAAATCAATAATCACTAGTCAATTATTTTTATTCTTTAGGCGTATAAGCAAAAGACAGAGGCGGCGAAAAAGGACTATTTGAAGCAGTTGGCTGCATACCGAGCGAGGTTGCTTTCGAATGTAAGTTTTTCATAATCTTATCATTATCACATATCCTTGGTTGCAGATGAGCAACAGGCAAACGTTGACCGACCAATCGTATGATGAGTTGATGCACAACGGCAAGTCCATGTCGTTGCTGCCTCAGAAGTCGCCCGACAGTACGACATTGGGTACGGAACCAAAAGTGAGGAACGACATCGGTGAGAAAAGCCTGGCTAGTCTGATTGCTGAGCCAACTCCGCTTCATATCCTCACCGCTACTACGACGTTGACAGTACCTCAGACGAACATTACGGTATTGCCTTATTACTGTCTCTATGTAACGTCGCATTTTGGTAGACTCACCTGTGCTGAGTGATCAGTTGTGTTTATCAGTGTGGTATTCTACTCAGTCATATTTATGAATTTTGCACATATAAATATTGTCTGTGTTTCTACGTACTGACCTCGCCTTCTCCTTTCACGGAGTGTCATCTTCGCAAAATTCAAAGAGAAGCAGCGTATCTTACGTCACTAAGATTTCTGATTTTTGCGTCCGCCTTTATGTTGTGTGCAGAAGTAAGGATCTAAGTTCTTATGACTTTCTCGTAATGTATGGTGTAGGTATAGGATTTAGATGAATTATCAAAAGTAAAACATAAAATAAACAGATATGATATTAAAGTTGTTCGTACCCCAGAGTATATCAAAAAACTCATAACTCTGGAACAATTA